CCAGTTTTTAGATCAAACTTAAATTCAAACCTTTTGAAATTTATTCAAACATACAAGCTGATAAGATATTTGAGTTTTAAAAGAGCCAAACAACTTTTTTTACCCTTTTAATTCTCTGGCGCTTCTTTTGCTCCTTCTGATACTGCTCGTAGGTACCATTTTCTTCCTGTCGTCTTTGTTTCTTTGACGATGTAAAGTTTTGAGAAATAGCATCTGAAAGGAAAGGTATAGGTATGCCAAGATCGGTTACATAAAAAAGATTGTCAGTTTTCAGGGCTGTAGTGAGCAAGGGACAAGATGGGGCACTTGCCTCATCTAAAATCAATCCAAAGTTAAAGACAAATTGTGTTTATTTGGCCAAACAATCCCCGTTTGAACATACCTAGAATTCCTCTTTCGGTACAAAGAGAATCATTTTGAATCTGCTCTATTTCTTTGACCTCTTTCAAGATGGTGGCTAATACAGCTTGGTTTGGTGGTTCATTCTCTCTGTGAGAAATTCAAATAATTGCATCAATTAATAACATGACAATCAAACTGAGAAAGATAACTTTCAAGTTAATTAAAACAGGATAAAACAGAGTTCTTGTGCTCGAGTATAAAGTGCAAATTAAAGAATTGTTTGTTCCAGATGTTTGGGCTTAGCCATTTAACAGTGGAAGTCTGATCAGTACGTGATGTTTTGTTGAGAAAGTTGCTCTCTATTTCTCATAGCACAGGAATCTTTCTCAACAACATATCCTTTGAATTCCACTGATTAAGAGTTGAGCCCCAAATGTCTAGAACAAACTACACAATCACCCAGCTAGCTCACCATCAAATAATTCTTTGACCGGCAAAGGATTGACATTACAAGGAAAAAACCTTTATGTCTACTTTTCAACAACTTTTTGTCAGTGTTCCATGCAAGGTCCAACTGTTCCATCTTTGAATGAATATAGTGCTGTGAACGATACCAGTGCATTAGTATTAAAAAGTGCGGGTCCCATTTTGTTTCCAAACTAACTAATTAAGAAATGATAGTTAAAGATTCCACGGCGCCTTTAAAACAGGACAGAAGCGGTCTTTCAAACATATCTATTGGCGGTTGTGCGGCAGGACAAACATTAGGTGAGAGAAATAAAAAATTTGTATGGCGCGCATTTTAAAACCGGCTCTCGAGTTTGGTTGGCAAGCCGCAAAATTTTTTGAAACAAGTCCTCATAATTA